TCTTGCGCTGAACAAGGTTAAGCGAGAAAACCGCATGGGATCGCGACGACTTAGCGTTGATAGCCGTGGCGTCAGTCTGGCGAATAGAGGAGCCGAAGTTCAGAGCATTCATAAGGTCGTCCACCGAGTTGATGTCGACTTGTCGAAGGCCTGTCAGGATGATGTTTCCCTTTGTGTCTTCGCGAATAGCCACATTGCCGCGCTCGTTCATCGGGGTCGTTTCGGGGACAAGAAGATCGCGAAGCTGTTCGTTGTAAATCTCGACATATGTAGCCTTCAGCGACCACTCGCGGTCGCCAAGTGTATTCTGCTGGCTATATCCTCGTGGACCTTTGAGATGGGAAAGAGAACTGCGATTTGCCTTGGCGTTGGACTTTGGGGTCTCGGGAGTATCGAGCTTTTCAAATAGGGCTATGGCAGCTCTAGGAATGACACCTGAATACTGGTTAGCAAGCGCAGTTACCGCTTGTTCGCTTCAACGTACCCATCAGCTCTTGGTCATATTGTTCACCTGGGCCAGAAGTACCCATGGTGTATGATTTGCCAGCACCAGACTGGCCATATGCCATTAAGGATACATTGTAACCTTGAGTGAAGGCGCCAATGCAGTCCGAAACATAATCCCACACGCCCTCCTGTTGTACATCTGAGCTGAAGACTCGGTCGAAAACAAACAGCTTGCGACCTTGCGGAGAATCGATTGCAAGGCTGGTATCGGAGGTCGTTTGGACCATAGCTCGTTGAAATCGCTGCGGAATCAGATCATATCCAGGATCGTTAGGGTTCAACGGCGGTCGTACTCGAACGGCTGACAACAAATAAGCATTAGTATCTAGAAAGTTTGGTGATAACGTTCGACTTACCAACTTTGACCGCCGTCCGACTTTCGTCGTCTGAGGCTCTGCTCCCGCCTCCAGTCTTGCTCGTCATGCTCAACCTGCTACTACTTCTAGGATGGGCTCTTGCGATGGCGCTCATGGGCCTTTGAGGGATTCCTCCCGGCGAGGCCGGGGGCGAGGTCGCCATGGCTAAGTTGCGAAAGAAATGCGCGGTGTCTCAGTTCTCGTAATCGTCAACGGCGATATATGTCGCAAAGCTGGAAAGGCCACAAAGGGCTTCTTTGTATAGTGTCTTCCTCGGAGGGAGAAGAAGTCGTCTTTCAGAACGTCATAGATGATTGCAGCACCACGAGAGTCGTCGGTTGGTGAGGGGATCGCGAAGTGTTCCAGACGGTCTCACGTGCGGCAGTTGACCTTTGGGGGACTCGTAGAAGTTTCAACGAGTGAGCGCGAGGCGGATGTCGATTGTTTATTCAGACCAGGGGTGTAGGGGGAAAATGTAATTAAACAAGCGACCACGGACGATCGGGCGACGGAGTTGTCGAGGGCTGGGTCTAGGTCTGGGCTGGCGATTCCTCGTTCCAGTTGTGGAGCGGGACGTAAGTCGCTAGCGGAGGGGCTTTTGTCGGGGTGGAATTGGGAAAAGGTGAAAGAAAAGAGCGGAGGAGAAAGGAAGAGAGACAAAGCGGTGGGAGAGGTTGTAGATGATGAAGAGGCAGAAGAAATGACTTCAACGGGCCGTTGGGTGTACTTTTCAGTTCAGGAGTAGAAAAAGCAACAGAAAAAAAGGGACGGGACAGCCTCAAAGTGGAATCAAGCCCACCAGGGGTAAACTGGAGAGTAGGTTCAGTATCTTCCAGCTTCCTTCGATTCATTTAGGGGATTGTGCCACCGCCAACCAACACACACACACACTCAGCGGGATGGAGGGCTGTCAAGTCCGCCCCTGGGCAACTAGAGGTACATTAGCGCTGGGCCGGCTCGGCCAACGTTGTCAGGTACCTCGCGTCTGATGGACATGATTGCCTGACCCCTGAATCTTAGGGTGGGGCTAGAGGCGCTTTGGTTAGGTGATGGCGGAGAGAGCGCCTACTGGTTGGATAGCTTCGTTTTAACTGGATCCTCCCCCCGGTGCTGGTAACCTGGTCCGCGCGACCAGGCCTAGCCCAGCCCAGTAGTGGCATGGACCCTCCAACTGGTTTGTATGCTTGGACCCTTAGCATCAGTGCCATAATCTGAATAATACTTGGTGATAGTGTTGGGAGAGACTGATTGGGACTTTACTAGACCAATTGAGCTATCAGAGTCAGTTCTCATTTCTTTAAAATGTGATATCCAACATCCTGATTCATGGACCGTATTCTTGAGAAGAGACTCCATTTGTTCTCACACTACTTGGCCGATCCCAGCTTGACCCGAGCAACAGGCAACGCATCCTCGTGGATGTTGAGGGTTAAACTGCTTAATCAGGCCTTATTTAAGATCGTCTTTACAAGCAACAAACCAACCACCTTGATTAGTCTCTCGGGCCAATTCAAATGCCTCTTCACCCCGAGCCGATCTTTTCTGTCCTGTCTGTTCAGGGGCTGATCTAATATCCGACGCGTCGAAACTAGCGGCACATCGTCGCGTTTGTTGGTTAGGTATGGCTGGATCTCATCAAACCAATGCAAGAACGGTAACCGATATACCGGTTTCACGCCAAGTTTCCATAGAAGAAAAGAATACCGTTGGACATTGACTCTAACGGCAAACTTCATTCTCGCTGTCCTGCAGTCGTGACAGAGTTTTCTCACAATGTCCCCTCTTGATGCGTTGTCAAGTTGACCCATATCAAAACGTACCTTGCGGTTAAGGCGGTCACGCAGCAAAATACATATGCAAGTACCTTCATATCACGAACATCGACGCGTATCACTTTGCAGACAATGCTACACGGAATGCACCAGCAACCGCCCCATGCACACCATCCCGTTCAACTGCTTCGTTGCTTTTGGCGCCCGAGACAACTATCAAGATCCCTCCGATAATACTAGAACTAGCCATCAACCATCTCCTTTAACTTTCGTCCCATCTCCTGTTAAAGTAAGATCCAGGGTCTCAGACGATCGTCTCCTAAATAATCGGAACAGATAATACTGAGACTTTCTCTTCAGCCCTTTACCCATGTCCCGCTGAACCTAGCTTGGAGCTCACATGGCGCCCCATTTGAAGCGAGGTTTCTTGGTCCATTAGATACGGAGTATTGAATGGCATCATTTCGCGACATGAGAAGCAAAATGTGGAAACAGTTACTGTGACCGGCATGGTGTCTGTCCGCGTTTTGAGTCGTATTCAAATGTGGAAGCAAATCGCGGGGGTCAAACACACACGCCCACGGTATGTTTCAGGTCCAAGCCCCCACTCCTGATCCCAATGAAACCTTGATACTCTGAACCTGTTACTATCATTTCTTCTTCTGAACAATCTTACATGACCTGACAAATGTTCGACTGTGAACTATCGAAGCTTATGAACTGTTGGTCCTTGTTGAACTCTCTTGACTGTTTGGCAAGGCCTTGTTACATCAAAATATCAGGTACAGCATGTCTGACTGTCTGAGACAGTTCGTCTCACCAAAGGAAAGCCACATCTTCAATGGAATGCATGCATGTTGACAGCATGAACTACCGGAGACCTCGGGCGTTGAGCCTGTCTTATTCGTCAGCCTTAAGAATCTCGTTCTCGCTTGTTGCTTTAACGCCCACTTACATAACATCGCCAAGGATGTTCGTTGTCACAGTAGCTGTCAACGGTTAGCTTGTCCACTATCGAAACAACGAGGCTGGTGCTCAGTCGGTGCCACTGAGAAAATATCCTCACGAGAAAACTAGTTATGAACAGAACTCCTGGAGTGGGCAGGCACCATAGAAACGGATGTAATATGTGGATTATCTTAACATACTATACCTCCACTTCGCTAGTTAGATCTATTAAACACGCGGCTGACCACCACGATATAGCTCCAAACACTGCTATAAAGACTATATACCTTGGTAATAGTCCAAATTGATGGATAGACTGCAACTACGTATTCACGGAGCCCTGTGATTAAACATGAAACTTTTGTTATCGCGATGTTACTGTTTCTTTGGAGGATAGATAATCTCTATATCTATCCCTGTCCCTACCCTGAGCCGCCAATATGCCATGAATTATAGATACAGACTCTTGCTTCGACTTTCTTTTGACAAACGCCAAGATGTTGTCCCTTCTCATTGAGTCTTTACAACGTAGCGATGTGACGTTGCACAGCTTGGTTACTGACGCATGTTGTGTTCGCTAAACACTTTGAACCCTGTCGAGGAACGGCACTGAAGGTCGAAGCTTGAATCAAGGAGAAAAGTATTTGGAGAATGAGAGGCGAGTCAGTATGTATGTGATCTATCATCAATAAAGCGACGTGATATAGCACGGGGTTCTGACTTACACATAAGCTTCAATCCTCGCCGTTGAGATCGTCATCACAGGGACTTCGCTTCGGAGGATAGTCTATATATTAGGCTATAATTGATGGTATTATTTTGTTTTCGAGCAATGCTAAGGAATATGTTTTGTTGTCCTGGGATCAAATACGAGACGATATCTCACTCGTGGATTCCTCTTTTCTCCTCAGTCAGTGATCATCTTTTGCGAGGATCGCTTGTACTATGTGCCTATAGAGCTCTGCCACCACTCCCGGCAGATTGCAGATATAATGGAGCGCTCATACGATGTATAAAATGTAAACTTGGAGATTAGTGGTGACTATCATAGAGGCTATAGATGTTATTCTAGCCCGAGTACTTGCAAGAACTTGCCACTGTCCTATAATCTTTTCGCATCAACTTTGTAAGGAAGATCAAGTTATTGTACGAAAACAAGCTACGAAAGGGCCGGGCCATACCATAACTGACGAATGGTGACATATATACTGCATGAAAAAAGACCATGTGTGGAAGAGACAACAAATCAATGAATGGTTCTTGTCCAGTACTGCAAGGAGAGCTATAGGTTACTCTACATACAGTCAGCCGAGATCTGTGATATCGCCCAGCACATATCACTGCGCTGATCCAAATGGCTACCACTCAGTGAGAATGCATGATGCCAGTCGTAACATGATTTTATTCTATCCCATATCTGATGTTCATTTGGTAGCCGTGAGTGGCAAGCTCCTTAATGGTCGCACGTGACTTTGGCGTTTTTCGTGTCCATCTGAACAAAGGTCGTCGCGTCACATCGCGCCCCGCCATTGATCGTAGGGAGCGTTAACTTCAAATCAACGATCATCAATGGCAGTCGTCCGAATATCCCGAAAAAAATGGCACCTGACGTGATTGATCTCATCTCATCGAGTCCACCACCAAGCCAGTCCATTCCACCGTCTGCGCAAGTGCCCGAGGCCGATCGCATCGTTGAACCAGAGAAGCGACACCGACCAATTATCGACGCTACCAATTCTGCGTCACCGGGACTATTTCTCTCAGATGATTTCGATACAACCATCGATCTCGATGAACCGATATTGATCGATGCAAATCCGAATAAGAGACGATGTCTTTCTCCCCCGGCGCAACCACCCCCACGCAAGCGCATTTCTCCAGCTCCAGAACCTCAAACAATTCTCCCGCCGGTGCGAACGAAGGGGAATGGACGAGCTCCTGTCGCCTCAGACCCCATAGAACTTTCGAGTTCTCCGGGATTTGGATCACCTAGCCAGCTGGAACCTTCGACATATACTGGCAAATCTTCGACACATACTACCAGAAAACCCACTAAACAGACGATTAACGCTGAAGACTCTGACCCTTTCGCAAGTTCACCACAACCAGTGCGACGATCTCCCCCCAAACCAAAGCCCCTAGCAAGACCTATAGAATCTTCCGACCCTTTCGCGAGTTCACCACATCAAGCCCCGGTAACGACAAAGGCGCCCGAGGTTATCATAACATCACCGCCTGCGCCTGCGCCTGCGCCTAAGCCTGCACCGAAGCCAGCACCGAAGAAGAATGCTACATGGGATCCTATCTCAAGTTCAGCCCCAGATGTCTTCTCTTTCGATTCATCGCCGCCAGGGAAGAACAATAGCGTCATTAACATTGACGACTCCGATGGCGGAGACGGTTCCGAGGACGAATTGCCAGATATCGCTTCCTTCGATGTTGCTAAGATGCGCCGTCGATCGCAACTTCAGCGCTCACAAAGCGATGTTGTATCATCAAGATCTCGAACAAAACCCGCACCTTCGAATACAAAGTCAGCAGCAGAGCGAGCACGAGAAAAAGAAGCAAAGGCAGCAGCCAAAGAAGTCGAAAAAGAGACCAAGCGACGAGAGAAACAAGAAGCAAAGGAAGCCAAAATTCGCGAAAAGGAACGCACTGCTGCGCTGGCAGAGGTCAACAAGCTACGTACAGACAAGAAAGTCTCGACGCCAGAAATGATGGTCGATATCCCCTCAAGTCTAGATGCCACGGTCACCACTGAGCTTCAGACCATGCTAGAACCCTTCGATGTGCAGTACACAATTTGGGACAGTCCGGTCGACAATGTGATCAAATGGCGAAGAAAGGTTCGCAGTCGATACAACGACGAAATTGGTCTCTGGGAGCCAATACCTCTTCGCCTTGAAGATGAGAAGCATGCTCTGGTTGTGATACATGCTGACGAGTTTGTGAAGCTGGCGCAGGACGACCAGATCTCAACTCACGTTGGCAAGATGCAAAGGCATTTTGCTGGACATTCTCTCGTCTACCTGATCGAAGGTCTTACACCTTGGATGCGCAAGAACAGAAACCTTCGTAATCGTCAATTTGCATCGAATGTTCGCGCTCAGGAGGCTGCGGCTTCTACAGCAGGCCGTCGACGAAACAACCCCCCTCCAGAATACGTATCTGAGGAGTTAATTGAAGATGCGCTGTTGCAACTGCAGGTGATGCATGAGGCTTTGATCCATCACACTATGATTCCGATGGAAACAGCCGAACAGATCCTCACATTCACCCAACACATCTCAACAATACCATACCGAAAACAACGAGACATTGCGACACTCGGAGCAGGGTTTTGCATGGAAAGCGGACAGGTCAAGACAGGCGAGGACGCAAAAGACACCTACGTCCGAATGTTGCAAGAGATTGTCCGAGTCACGGCCCCCATCGCATATGGAGTCGCGGCGGAATTCGACACAGTCAGTAGCCTGGTCCGAGATTTAGAAGAACGCGGGCCAACTCTTCTCGAAGGCGTGAAGAAGAGCGCAAACAAAGACGGTGCCTTTTCAGATCGCACAGTTGGTCAAGCCGTCAGTCGACGGATGTATAAAGTTTTCACGGGAGTGGACGAGACGAGCACGGATGTTTAGAATAGTGTGTATTATATGTAATGATTCTATGAAGACCATCGATCATGATACGATGCAGTTCTAATGAGACCTATGAGTTCATCGTTAGCTAGAGTTACCATAGAAAATGACAACAAAGACAAATTGTGAACAAGCTGTCAGACAGCGGTTGGACAAAATTGTTTCCACATTGTGTATTTCAGTACAGGTCTGTGTAATTGCTTCTTCATCATAAAGCTTGGGAGTATCGTGAGTGTGAGAAAGAAAAATTTGAACATACCAATTAGCGAGATATGATGTCCTCATCTTCGAGCTTGCGCTTTCGCGACGTTGGCTTGAAGAATGAGTCCATCGTCTTTTGTTTGGCATCGAACTTGGCGCTGCCAATTCCGCCTCGGGTCTTTTTCAGACCTTTGAGGTGGTCGACGCTGTTTATCTTCACGACGCGCATCTGGAGATGTTTGTCGGAAGAGTCGCGCGTGACGAGGGCCTCGATGTAGCCGGTGTTGCTCCATGAAGGGCGCACAAAAGCAGATGCCTGGCCTTCCGGTTCAGCATCTGGACCAGCAGATGAGGTTCTGTCGCGGAGTGTTTTGTAGAAGGTGCCGAGAATGATACCATGGGCAACGATGCAGACGGTCGAGTCTTCGTACAGTCGAGGCAAATGCTCGTCCAAAAAAAACTCAACCCTCTTCTTCATCGCCAGCGGTGTCTCAGAACCCTCATGCTTCGTCGCAGACCCAAACTTGGTACCCTCGCCCGTCCCAAAGTCCTTCTCCCTCAGCTCCGGCACCTGAATCAATTTCAGATCCTTCGCGCGTTTCTGCGCATCGAGGATAGCCTGTGCGGTATGCACCGCGCGACTGAGATTCGAAGAGAAGATGCGATCAATGGTGACGAGCTCAGCGAGGTGAGATGCTAGCCGTTGAGCTTGCATCACGCCGTGGGCAGTCAAGGCTGAGTCGCGAGACCCGGCATAGAGGTTTGCGACGTTGTCGACTGTCTCTCCATGGCGTATGAGGAAGAGACGCATCGTTGCATCGTTCAGGAAGGCCACGCCAGAAGCAAGCTGGTCATGGTGATTGTTGATGGTTGAGAGAGCTGGAGGAGAAAAAGTCAGAAATTTGTAGTGCAGATTTCGTGCTGACTCATCAGCTTTGGGGCTAGTCCATAACCAAGCTAGCTCCAATTGAGCAAGCGGCACTCGGAATTTTCACCTTCATTTCAATGCGCACGTTATTGGCCAACTAAATCGTGAAATTCGTAAAGCTAAAGACAAAACTCCGAACTATTCATACAAATTCCATTCCCAAGATTTCGAAGATATTATTCATTAAGAAATACCCTTTAACCAACCATTAAAAACCGTTTATTTCTTACCGCCGGTGACTGTGCCGACGACGTCACCAAGACCAAGGCTACCGAGGATCTTCTTGAGACCAAGACCTCCGAGAAGACCGTCGAGCAGACCACCAAGACCAAGACCGTTGAGCTGAATACATTGTTAACAGGATGACCAATTGATTGTTGTGATGAGTGGTTGAAACATACCAGAGGACCCAAGATGGGGCCGAGAAGCTTGCCAACAAGGCCAAGCACACCGCTGAGCAATAGACCAACAGCGGCGACAATCTGGAAGAGAGGCTCGGCGAGGAGACCCCAGAGAGGGTTGATCTCCTTCTTAGCGTGAGGCATACCCTCGAGCTTGCGCTTGCCCTCCTCAATGGTGGTTTGAATCTCGGTCGAGAGCTGTTATCTTGTTAGCGAATGCTTCAGGGTAAGGGACTATGATACTAACCTCCTTGAGCAAGTTGGCAAGGTGAGCCTCCTCAGGAGTGGCCTCACCAGCAGCAGTCTTCTGCTTGGCGTTGCGAGAGATACGGCCATCGGGGTCAAGACCGCGGATGATACCATTGGTCTCAGTCAGGATCTTACCACCATCCTCGATGAGAGGCTTGACTTGTCGGACAAGTTCCTCCTCATCACGATCCTCAGGCTTCTGAGCTTCAGCAGCGCTGATCTTGTCCTTGATGGACTTGCAGATGGGTCGGAGCCTCTCAAGAGTTTGCTCAATCTGGTAGGCCAGTTGTTGAGCAAGCTTCTTGTTCTTCTCAGCTTCCTCAGTCTTCTTGGCCTCTTCGGCCTCAGCCTGCTCGCGCTTGAGTCTCTCCTCCTCAGTCTCACCCTCGGGCTCGGGCTCCTCCTCCTTGGGAATATCCTCGAGAAGAGAGACGTGGCCGATGACAGATCCCTTCTGGTTGAAGACATCACCATCCTCATCAATCTCCTTGCCAGCACAGTCGAGAAGCTCACCGCTGGTAAGCTTGCCAATGATGTTACCATCAGCGTCAACGACGTTACCCTCACGGTTCACCTTTCGGCCAGCGAGAGGGTTGTGCTTCTGCTCCTTCTCAGGCTCCTCCCAGCGCTCAGCCTTACCGATGACATTACCGTTGGAGTCGGTGATCTCACCGTCATCGTCAACAGCACGCCCGGCAAGAGCCTTAGCGTCACCAATGACAAGTCGGCCAACAACCTCGCCAGCTCCGTTGACGACCTTACCATCCTTGGAGACAGTGCAGTTCTTGAGCTGAGCGAAGGGGCCCTCCTTCTTGCCGCCGCGCTCACCCTCAGAGACGAGCTCGGCCTTACCAATGATGTCGCCAGACTCACTTCGGATGTTTCCATCCTTGTCAGACATGCGTCCGACAAGCTTCTGAACATCGCCCTCAACGACACGGCCGTAGATCTCGCCAGATTCGCTGACGAGGTTACCGGCCTTGTTGACGCGCTTACCAGCAAGAGCAGATTTGTCAACGGGCTTCTCCTCCTCAGCCTCGGGAGCTTCCCAGCGCTTGGCCTTACCGACAGTGTTGCCACGGCGGTCGAGAATGTCACCATCCTCGTCGACCTCGCTGCCCTTGAGTTGCTTGGGGTCACCCTCGATGACCTCACCAACCTGCTCGCCCTGGTACATGACACGGCCGTCAGACTCGACGGTGGCGCCGGGGAAGTGCTCGAAAGGAGCGGATGACTTGTCCTCACGCTCGGAGACAGAGACAGGCTCAGCCTTGCCGATAACCTCACCGGAGTCGTTCCAGATATCGCCGTTCTCATCGGCGCGCTTGCCAACGAGCTCCTTCAGGTCACCCTCAACAACCTTACCGACAACAGTGCCGTTGGAGTCGACGAGCTTGCCGACCTTGTTGACCTTGGTGCCCTTGAGGATGGAGCGGTCCTTCTTCTGGACGCGGTCCCACTCAGGGAGAGGCTCAGCCTGGCCGACGACCTTGCCGTCTCTCCAGATCTTGCCGTTCTCATCAGATTTGAGGCCAACGAGCTGTCGGACCTCACCCTCAGTGACCTTGCCGATGGTGTCTCCCTTGTCGTTGGTGAGACCACCCTCCTTGTCGACTACAGCCCCCTTGAGGATAGAGAAGTCCTTCTGCTCACCACGCTCCCATTCGGGAAGAGGCTCAGCCTTTCCGACCTTCTTGCCAGTCTTGTCCCAAATGGTGCCCTGCTCATCAGAAGCCAAGCCGATGAGCTGCTTGATCTCGCCCTCGACGACCTTACCGAAGAGGTGACCCTTCTCGTTGACAAGGTTTCCGTTCTTGTCAACAGTGGTGCCCTTCAGGATGCTGTAATCCTTCTGCTCACCACGCTCCCACTCAGGAAGAGGCTCGGCCTTTCCGACCTTCTTGCCAGTCTTGTCCCAAATGGTGCCCTGCTCATCAGCAGTGAGACCAATGAGTTGCTTGATCTCGCCTTCAATGACACGACCAATGAGATGGCCCTTGTCATTGACCAGGTTACCCTCCTTGTCGACGGTGGTACCCTTGAGGATGGAGAAGTCAAGCTGCTCGCGGTCCCACTCGGGGATGGGCTCGGCCTTTCCAAGCTGCTTGCCGGTCTTGTCCCAGATGGCACCTTGGTCATCACTACTGAGGCCGATGAGCTGCTTGAGCTCTCCTTCGACAACCTTGCCGAGCTTGTCGCCCTTCTCGTTGACGAGGTTGCCCTCCTTGTCGACGGTGGTGCCTTTGAGGATAGTGAAGTCGAGGGGCTCCTTAGCAGCCTCCTCGCCCTCAGCAGCCTTCTCCTCAACAGCCTCTTCACCCTCGGCGGCCTTGTCCTTGGCCTCCTCGGTAGCATCGCCAGCGACTTCCTCGCCTTCAGCAACCTTGCCTTCAGCGGTCTCTTCACCTTCGGCGACCTTGCCTTCAGCGGTCTCTTCACCTTCAGCAACCTTGCCTTCAGCGGTCTCTTCACCTTCAGCAACCTTGCCTTCAGCAGTCTCTTCACCTTCGGCGACCTTGTCCTTGGCTTCCTCAGGGAGATCCTTAGCGGCCTCCTCACCTTCGGCAGCCTTGTCCTGGACCTCATCGGTGACACCAGCAGCCTCCTCACCAGGAGCCACAGACTTCAGGTCATCACCAGTCTTAGACTTGTCGCCATCGTCACCAGGGGCTTCACCACTTGGGAGTTCGTCGGCGGCCTCAGACTTGTCAGGGACTTCAGACTTGGGAACCTCGTCTTGGGCACCCTCGGTCTTCTCCTGAAGCTTCTCCTCAACATCCTCAGGCTTGGGAACATCCTGCTCGTCGACCTTGGAGGTAACGTCCTCCTTGGCCTGTTCAGGAACACCCTCAGCAGTATCCTCTGCCTTGTCGGTTGCCTCCTTAGCCTCCTCGGACTCTGGGGGAACCTCCTTCAGCTTATCTCCAGCGTCAGGAGCGTCGCGGTCCTCGAGGTTGATGTCCTTCTGGTCTTGGTCTTGGTCGTCAGACTTGACATCGGGTGTCTTGTCCTTGACCTCTGGGGCGCCGGGTGTCTCGGCGGGTGTCTTTGTGTCGGTAGCTTGGGAGGTGGCGTCTGACTTGTTGGCAATGCCCTCAGTCGCGCCTTCAACGGCATCCTTGCCTGTCTCGCCCACTGTGTCGGCTGTGTCGCCAACGGTATCTGTAGCTCCCTTTGCTGTGTCGCCAACAGCTCCTGTAGCTCCGCCAACAGCCTTTCCAACAGCGCCGGTAACGCTACCGACGGCGTCTCCCAGACCACCAGATTTCTTGTCCTTGGACTGGGTTGTGTATTCGCTCTTCTCCTCGTCGTGGGAGTCCTCTTCCTCTTCAGGCTTGCCTTGTCCTATGGGCAGGGTCTTGCCGAGGACATCGCCTGAAGAGCTGACAACATCACCGGCTTGATTAACGGTGTTGCCAATGAGGTTCTGGAGGTTATCGGGGTCGGCGATCTTGCCAATGGTCTTGCCGGCGTCATCTAGGACTTCTCCGGCATCATTCACGACGCCAGCTCCGCTCCTGGGGACTGACTCAAGATTGACTGCAATGGGGACGATAAGCGCCAAACTTGGTGAAGGACTATTGAACGCACCAGGGGATTCCTGCTCTTTGGAAGAGGCAGTATCTTTTGTTGTGTCTTGAACCTGGGAGGAGAGGTCTGCCATGATGTGCTGGTCTTGTACTTCTTGTTCAACTCCTTCAAGATCGAGAAAAGGGTATCTTTCAGATAAGAGAGGATTAATGGGGTATCGTTGTGTTAGTTGGAAATTGGTATTGTTATTGTTATTGTTGTTTTGGGTATCGCTTCGCAAGTTGGCCAAGAATGGAATGAATTGATACTTTTGTCGAAACCGCAACCACCACCACATCTTCAACTACTTATACCGACACACGGCTTATACAAAACAAGTTTTACTGCCAGGCCATTCTCGATTTCGATCACGTCAATTCAAAAGTCTCAACGTCAGTGTGAGCCCAACTTCTAGCCATGATACTGCGCCGCACCTTGCTATCGGACGAGAAAGCTGCAACAGCCACACGTCATGATGAAGATCTAAGCGCGGGGAGGGTGTGGCGAGAGCTGTTGGATGACGTTATAAGGAGCTCTCCTAACATGGATATGTTACACAATGCAATTGGGGAAGAGCTCTAGACTCGAAGGCGCGTGTAAGTGTCCCAGGATGAGGCTTGCTCTACCTTCCCGACGAGAAGGTCCAGCGGTTGGAAAACAGGCTTGCGGGGTGGAGGATGCACACCATCTACAAGACGGAGCCTACACATTCAGGGTATGGATCGAGATGAGAACTGGGTCGTCTACTGGGGGGATCTGGAAGAAAGGGTTGCGTGTGCAGTAGCCTCAAAAAGAAACAACCGGGTTTTTGACAAGAGCCAAACGTCCAACTGGCACTTTCAGATGGCAAATGTGTAGTAAGAGTGAGTGAATAGTGAACTAATCTAGCGTGACGGGGAGGGGTTACCCCATGAGGTTTACTTATTCCGAGGTGTGGAGGGGCGTTTATGTGTGAGCGAGAGCCACTTTCACTCATACGAATGGGATGCATATGCTTGCCTTGGTTGGCTTGGCTTACCATACCTTACTTTGCCTTACATGAGTGTAGTCAATTTTGCGTGGGGGTGTTGATGGAGAAGGTCGGATAATTGTGAAACGCACCAAGAAAAATAAGTAGATTATCGATTATCGCTATCAGTTGTCTCAGTCTGACTACCGCTGCTCTTTGTCTCGGTTACAAGGTTCCTGTTGAAGACTGTAGGAATCTTGATGATGAGTTGAATACCATCATAGGTTGACTTGACGTCCAGGAACAGCTCGTCAGGCCTTGGAGCACCCGGTGGCTTTGCATTTGCATTGTTAGTTGTGCCGGCACTCCCACTACCCTGGGCCTGTTCCCTTTCCTTGTCCTTGTTCTCGGAAACTTTGTCGGTTCCGTCTTGCGTCGGCATCGGCTTGTCGAGCTTGCCAATCCTGTTCCCCTGGTCATCATAGATGTTTCCTTCATCATCGACTTTGAGTCCACCTGCTGCAAGTGGCTTGAGAGCAGGCTTGATGTAGTTCTCGCAGACGTGACCAGCCACTTCGTCGTCCTCGTCGAGGACTTGTCCATTCGGCATGACTGGTCGTCCTACCATGGACGGGAGATCGCCTTCTACACGGCCGAGGACAGTACCGTCCCAGTCTAGAATGTTGCCAAACTCATCGACGTATTTGCCGTCTAGACCAGCAGCGAGTTTTTCAGGTGATTGTGTTTTTGAGTCTGTTTGGTCTGTGCTTTCAGATACTGGCTTTATCCTTGGTATGCGAATCTCAGGGTTTGAGACTTTTGGTTCAGATGTTCGTCCATTGCGGACAGGAACATTGACCTCGTAGGTGCTGTGCGTAGGATCGCCATCAGGGGTGGGCGAAGACATTGGGATAGGGTCAATTTGTTCCTGAGGCTGATGATCCTCGTGAGGCTGGAGTTTTTCTTGCTGCTGATCCTGGACCTGTTTTGGGGGTCTGCTGGGTCTCGAGGCAGAAGGCTGGAATATGGAGATGGCAGAGGAGAGTGCTGACCTGATGCCAGCGCCGTGCCAAAAGGGCTGCTTTGATGTTGACGTGTGGCTGGTAGAGCTTGTTTTGTGCGGGGACATGACGACAGGTAGCAGGCTCTGCATGAAACTTGGAACCTCGAATTGGGGCTTGATTTTTAGTACAGTACTGTCTGAGTTTATTAGTTGCAGTAGCAGAGAAAAGAGAGGGAAACGCCCCCTTATTTCTCAGGGTAAAGTATATCTGGTTAAACCCCTGTGTCTAACTAGCTGTAACAGATGAGAGCCGCATTTCACAAAAGATGAGATCAAAAACAAGATGTGACTCTGGAAATATTCTGGTCAAGTTTCTCTGATCGTCCGCGCTCATCACGATCGCGGGCCACCCGGGAACAAGAGACTAGTAGGGATGTGAGCAAGATGAGACAAGACAGCTAAAAAGTGAACCCTGGTTTTTTGGACAGAGACAAGAGATGATTGGTGGGAGCTCTGACAAGACCTAGTCCCTGCTTCCACCTCGGACCAAGCTTTCTCAGAAGCTGGTTCCTGGCTGGAACGGTTGGCCTAGACTTGAAGAGGATGGTGTTGAGGTGGCTTGCGTGGCATGATCGTGTGTGGCTTGCTAGTTCCAAGTACATCCTTGTCATTTGATGCAATCTGACGTTTTGGTTAGTTTCGGGGAATTTCAACTGTCATGTTATTATCGTCACTCTTTTCTCACCCAGTGTGAGGACTGTATTTACGAGAAATTATACGGTATGTGAAGAGCAAAGAGTGAATGCTTTTAGATTCATGTAATATATAATGTTGCAGTGTTGTATTTATCCCTCCCAGAAACAGCAGTAAACCATCATTAATAAACACCATGTTGCGCCGCCACAGATCGTGCTGTTGTAATAACAGTAACATTATATGGGTACCATCATGACATGAACAAGACAAAGCCAAACATAAACATAACAGCCAATGCGAATAATCGCATTCTCTAGTTTCTGCACAGCGCAAAGCAATTAGCCTCTGCTTGTCAAACACACGGCGGCGTCTATCCCGTTCTGGAGATTTGCAAGCCAAGTAAGATACGACGGCCACAGGGAGAGCAAAGGAAAGATTGGAGGTGCACACGTACAGTAGAGAGAGCTCGAGATCACCGTGGATACGAGCCTTGAGCTGAATCTCAATGTCGAGGTTGAGATCTAGGCGCAGACGGAGCGTGTCTTTGCCAGCATCACCGCCGCCGCCGCCCTGCTGCTGCTGCTGCTGACCGCCCGTGAGACCGCCCAGGCCGCCCGTCACGCCGCCTAGGGTGTTGGTCACGCCGTCTGTGACGCCGCCGACTGTGTTGCCTAGGTCTCCGGCAAGAGGGAGCTGGTCGAGGGGTCCTGATCCCCCTTGCTGCTGCTGTTGGGTTGGTGCTTGTTGGCGACGCTTGCTGCCCTTCTTCTTGCTGCGACGCTCTCGTCGGGGAGCTTCTTCGCTGGACATGGTCTGGTCGTCAGACTCGATGCGGTCCTTTTCCATGGAAGACATGATGAATTAAAAGAGTCGCTGGCTTAAGGATGAGTTGGTGATAGATGTAAGTGTAAGTGTAAGTGTTGGTGTAAGTGGATTAGTATGATTTGGTTTCTCACTAAAAAAAGTACAGGTTTGAAGAAATTAACTTGACTTAAAGAAACGGACGTGATATAAGTTTGAAACTACGCAAAACCTCATAACAGGATTTGGATCCCCATGAGGTCATGATCGAGATCAAAATCCAGTAAAATACCCTGCTCAGCCCAACCCACTTTATGTGACTTGACCCCTCCACCCCAACTTCTTCCTCCCTACACTACAGTACAGTACGGAGTGCCCCAGACACTCACTAGACTACCCCAGTCCCAGTCCCAGTCATATCATGCTATTTCTTGACATAACTGCTTTCCATGCCGAGCTGTGGTCTTCTCCGAAGCCTCACTGGCTGACATCTCTCCTCATCGTCAATTTCCTCCTCAATATCACCCTCCGGGTCCCAATATACAGCCCATTTCCCATCCTCGTCCCGCACCGCCACAAACGAATCATGATCTCCCTGGAGCGTCAGGAAGCGCTCATCTGCTGTCCAGCCCCAGGGTCCTATGACGTGCCCGATGGTGTCCTTCTTCCCCCCAAAGGTCACCATGTGCGTGTCCTTGTCCACGAAGATCCAGTTCAGCGCTGGGGGGTCGTCGGATACCATGCTCACCAGCCCCAGGTGCCCTTCTTCGCTGGGATACTTGAAATACCAGCCTAGAAATCTGTAGCCTTGCACGGGGGCATCTGAGAGGTTGAGGTACATCTATTGTTTGTGTGAGTATGTGCCTAGAGAGGGAGGAAGGGAACTCACCTTCTTGTCCACGAGAACTCCCTGGCCAACTTCTTCTATCTTTCCATTCTGTTGCAGCATGAATGTGAGGTGGAACTTTTCTTGTTCCTTGCTCATGCTCTCATTCTGTCTCTTCTGTGCACTCACAGCGTTACCCACGCCTGTAACGGTCGGGATAGCCGTGATGGCAAGTAATCCGATAACCATGTTTCTTGGTCTGTTCGTTTGTCTTGTTTTTTGCCGCGTATCGTATTGTAAAGGGTATGTTTGACAGCAGCAGGACTCACCTTCGCTGCATGACGTCCAGTCCACTTTGTAGAATCTTGACCCATACATTCTCAACACCAGCCACACGCACATAATCATGATCCCTGCAGCCTTCTACCCTCCCACCCCATTACGCCAAGCTGAGGGGAGGGGGGTAACGTCATAAGGCCAGGATTGGAATGCCATTTTTTACGTCACCTTGACCTGTCACGTAGAAATTCGGTTCCAATCCCCTTACAACGATAGAAACCGGTTCTTCAAGGGTTCGAGGTCGGCATACAATGACAATTATTGCGTCAGTCAAGCATCTTCAACAGGTTTCGGACTCGACACGTATTAATCTCAAAAACCATGCTTGGAACTTTAGTGTAGAAAAACTTCAACTTAACTATTACCTGCCAGCAAGCAAATAAACCTTTGTTTTTTTGAAACCCATTGTTCATTCAGCGCAGTAAATACCAACATATCCAACCATGTCTTCTCCATCTCAGCAAGTAAGTTACACTGTGAGTTTGTGTCATCTGATCCGGAATTAAATTCCTTTAGGACTCGCAGAAGCGAGACGAATCTCAGGCTCCTCAGTCTCCAGGCCAAGGCCAGGAGAACCAGCAAGAGCAGGGTAATGACAGCAACCCTTTCAACCAGAATCAGAACGAGGGCCAGCAAGAGGAGCAGAACCAGAACCAGGGCCAGGGACAAGAGGCTCAACAGCAAGGTCAAGAGTCTGAGTCCAAGCCTGAAGATGCTAAGGACGAATCTAAGCCCGATACCGAGAACGCAAAGGCTGAGACACCTGGCGACAAGGAGGAGAAGCCTGAGCAACCTGACCAGGCCAAGCCCGACCAGCCCAAGGCTGAAGAGTCAAAGCCCGATGAGTCCAAGCCAGAGGACTCGAAGCCTGAAGAGGCCAAGGCAGACGACAAGAAGCCCGAGGAAGTAAAGAAAGAGGAGGACGACGCCGACTCCAAGCCAAAGCAAGCAAAGACCGAGGCCCAAAAGACCGCCAAAGAGGCCAAGCCCAAGAAGAAGCGCCAGCCCGTCAAGGAAGAAAGCGAGGACGAGGACGACTCTGAAGACGACGACGACGACTTTGACTCTGAAGATGATTCCGAAGAAGACTCCGAGGAAGATTCCGAAGACGACGAGTCAGAGTCTGAGTCCGAAGAAGAGAACGAGCCTGCTACACCTCCTCAACAAGCCGAGCCAGGACGCAAGGGCGGAAGACGAGGAAACACAAAGGCCGGTGATGTAAGACGCCGACGCCCTGCATGGCTCGACGAAGAATCTGACGATGAGGGCCGCAAACAGCTTTCGAAACAAGACGAGCAGAACCAACAGATGCAGCAGAAGCGTCAACAGCAGCAAATGCAACAGCAGCAGCAACAACAACAGCAACAGGTGCAGCAGCAGCAGCAAGGAGGCGGCGGTAAGAGCGACGCCCTCAGCTTGCATCTCGAGCTTAACCTTGAGATCGAAATCGAGCTCAAGGCTAGAATCCACGGTGATCTCACACTGGCACTACTGTAAGTTTTCCCTTCTCCCCCCATGCTGCGGACCCTTTTCGTCTTTTGTCCGCCTTTCTCATCTGACAAGTGCATAGCCAATAGTGACATGTAATTTTGCAGGGAAGGAGCATAAGTATAAAAAAACTCTCAAGAAATGCTATTATTAATTCGGCGACGACGAACGACGAACGATGTTTTCTCACGTCTTATATTTAGCGGCGTTTTGGGGCATGAAGTTAACGGCTTCGTTCATTTTTGTTATATGTAAAGTAGGATAAAGAGTTGAAATTGGGTTTGTTTTGTTACATGTTTCTCAGATTTATGTGATAACGTGACACTTGCGGGTGAGGACATGATCTGTAAACCATTGGCATAGTGTAGTGTAGTTGATAGTGTAGTCGGTAATAGTCCATGTCTCGGTTATAAGCTACAAGCTAAAGCTTTGGTCCATTTTAGATCGATCGTGATAAGATCTCAACGGTTTTTTGTCGATAGTGTCGTTGCAAGCGGGAGATCTACCGAAGCGATGATGTCGATGAGGCTGAGGTTGGTGATGAGGCTCGGCTCTAAGTTTTGTGGTCTGTGACACACGGGAACGGGAGGGATCGATTCATTCTTTTGGGTCGGGTCGTGCTTTTGAAGCGAACCAACGGATCTCGTGATGGAGTTATAAGATCGTCGTTATCATATGGTGACACTCGTACGAGAGGTTATCTCGGGGCCGGGTGATTTAGGGTAACTGACTGACGTGATTTGTTAACGATCTTGAGATGCGAATGCGGACTCAGTGATCTAATGAAATACGGTGTTCGATTGAGTGATTTTATTGGTCTTTGTTACACATTGGCATCAGAATGACTACAGTGGTAGAGTGTTGTGTTGCGCAGCAGAATCTGAGAGACATTTCCATTCATTACCAATTGAGGCATCCCACAATCAATGCAACGAGAGCTGTCGCCACATTTAATCTCTCTCTAATTCTTTGATAAACTCAATTCTAACTATTTTTGACCCGGACTTATCGGTACACGCCAAGAATTCCATCCTCATTATTTCCGATCTTGTAATCATCACTGTAAATTCTCCAGTGCCTTAGGTATGCTTAGAGGTGGCGCCCAGGCAGTGCAAGTGACGTATTACAAAGCAGACGCCGAAAGTCCCCGAACACGATAGCATCACTCAATCTACACGACACCAAGAATCTTGCTTACCAACTCAACACATATAAATAAATATCTCCCCATATCATCTTATCTTTTACCATCACGTCATTCTACATTATATCGCAAACGCAAACTCAAACTCACACTTAGCTACTTCTTTTCTACAACCGTGACAATAACGTCTCCAACTCATCCATCGCCACTTCGCTGCTGCACAAACATGGCAGACTCTCCCATGTCCGACAGCGAGCAGTCCTGGCTCACACTTTCAATCACACACCGAAAAGTTACATACGAACTATCTTTCCCCGAAGATGCGACGATTACAGACCTTTTCAACGAGATCGAAGCGAGCCTCGATATTCCCGTCGCAAACCAAAAGATCATCGCCCCAAAGACTCCCCTCCTCAAAGCGCCCTTTAAGAACCCCGATATGCCCCTTCTCGACCTCAAGGGCAAACATTTGACGCTAATGGGCTCTGGCGCTGCAGAGATTCAACAGGTGCAGGATATGGCTGAGCGTGTCGCAAAGCGCAATGCTGCGAGGATGGCGCAGAGGAGCAAAGCACGACATGCGACGACAACGCGCCGAAACCCACAAGACTCGCAATATACATTTCTTCAGGTCCGACCACTCCAAGGCCTTCCGAACCCAGACCGCAGTCAGAAACTTTTGCTGCGTTTGAAGGAAGACCCTGGTATTCGCGCTGCCATGACGAAGCACAACTTCACCGTTGGGCTCCTAACAGAGATGGAACCTCTTTCGCATACGCAAACAACACACGAGGGAACAAGTCGCATTCTGGGATTGAATCGTAACCAAGGCGAGGTCATTGAACTACGATTGCGAACAGATGCGCACGATGGATATCGCGATTACAAAACCATTCGCAAGACATTGTGCCACGAACTAGCGCATAATGTTCATGGTCCGCATGATAGAAACTTCTGGGACTTGTGTCATCAAATTGAGCGAGAAGTTGACGCAGCGGATTGGAAATCAGGCGGGCACACGATCGGTGAAACATCGCGATACACTGTCTCTGGACGTGATGAGGAAGAAGAGGATTATCCTGAGGACTTTGGTGGTTGGACGGGTGGTGAATTTGTGCTGGGAGGGGTTAAAAACAATTCAACTGCTGGGATGAGTAGACGAGAAGTTCTTGCGCAAGCAGCACTTGAAAGGCAGAGAAAAGAGGTCGATTCCGAGCGGAAGGTTCTGGAGGAGCAAAGACAAAGAACACCACCAGGTGATGAATCCAAGTAATGACATTTCAGAAAGCGAGGCGTAGGAATACCCATAGAAGGCATAGCATAAACAGGCGTTAGCATTACAATCTGATACACCATTTACATACATATATTCTCTGCTTCAGTAAGGAAGAGGATCCAAGTTCAAACCCTCAACACTAAATTTGAAAGCATCGTTTCGCGAATAACTCCCCGCAGCATCAAGATCAAGACGACCCCTGATACAATCACGGAAATCAACATCCGCAAAGATCAAACCATCTGGATCCTCCCACTGCGGTCCAGCAATAACATCTCCAAACGGTGAAACAATCGACGATCCGCCACGAGATAGAAACTCAACTTTTCCAGAAGAAACAGCGCTCCTCGCAGGAGGAGGTTGAGGCCACGTACCGTCATCATCACATCCCAAAACAATCTCATTCCCATCCTCATCAAAAACAGACTTACGTCTTCTTCGACTCGGCGATTTGGGCAGCGCAATCTCAAATCCTTCCTCCGTCATACAAGATCCACGACGCTGTCTTACTCCGTTTGTTCCAGAGGTGGTAGTCTTGGGAATGCACATGTTGCTGCTGACGACGAAACAGCGGCCTTCAACGCCGACTGTTCGCATGAGGCCGAGCCATGCATCGCGGTTATCGGCTGTGGGTGCGAGGTAAAGGTTGATGTTTTGGGCGTAGAGACTTTGGCGTAGGAGGGGCATGTAGTTCTCCCAGCAGATTGCGGCGGCGAGATTGATGCGTATGCCGCGGATGGTGGTTGTTACGGCGCGGAGGGTGCTGGGTGAGCCTTGAGCCCAGATGAGGCGTTCAGAGCCAGTCTGCAAATGTTAGTTCACCTCATATCATAATAGAGTAGGGGAGGGAGTGGTCTTACAGGAAGGACTTTACGGCGCTTTCCAAGCATACCGCCCTTGGGACAAACATAAACAACAGAGCAATACAAACTGCCACCAGCTTTCTCAATACATCCCACTACAATAAAAACACCCGTATCCTTCGCAATGCGCTCCAACTCCTCCCGCGAGCCATCACCACGAACTTCATCCTCCTCACCAAGCTGTCTCTTCACCCACTTGACCCCGGCACCACCACCAGCAGGTCCAACGGTATCACCGAGATCAATGGCAGAATCAAAATAACGAGCGAATTCATCGCGACCTTCTGCGCTGCGATTACCGATTTCACAGCCAAAGGAACTACCGCGGGGATAGCCGCCGATGAAGGCTTCGGGGAGGAGGAGGATATCGATGTGGGATGAGGATGCGCGCTGGGCGAGGGTGTCGATGAGGGCGATGGTAGAAGCAGTGGAGGATTGGGTGCCTGGGGAGGCGGTTCCAAGACGAATATGACCAGCTGCAGCCATTTTGATCACTTAATGAACATAAACACAGACACAGAAAGATACAGTTGGAGTTGGGGTAGAGGAGTGGTTATATAGATCAGGTGAGTATGGCATGCTTAGCAACGAGCGGGGCAACTAATCAAGCCAGCCATTTCTACACAGTATTAAATGTTTCAGTGTTTACCTAGCGGATGCCTCGGCGCCTCTTTTCGTTTCCAAGGCAAGATAAAACAGTCAGAGTTCATTGAAAGCTGAGTGAGAAGTTGGGAGCTAGACCATCTTAGAAGCTACCCCGCATAGACATGGAGATATGCGGCCCGCTGCGGCATCATGACTTCGGGCTTCGGGTCCGAAGTGGGAGGCGATGTCGGATGAGATATGATACAAGATATGACTCGAATGCAATGAATAGAAGTTGCTGTATGGATCTAATTGATAATGGAATCAGAACTTGGTTGAGTCTCAAGCTTCAATGTCGGCGAGACCAGTGACTAAGTTACTCTTAATGGGGATGAGCACCATTGTGGGAGACATTGGTCAATCAATAGCGATATACACTTGGACCTTGGACCGAGACTTTGTAAATGCCATCGAGGTGAAGATCGTCGTCTTGAAAGACGGTTGTCGCCCGGTGGGTATCGCAGGCCTTGTAGTTCTCATGATAACCACTTCGTAGAATAGGGATGGCAAGTTTAGTGTGCTGTAACTGTGACAGTTTGCTCAATTCATCATAATTCTTTATACTTTTCTCTTACATCCTCAGGGTATTCTTACACACACACCACTATCTCCTCCTCGTACTTCGTGTCGTCGTAGGCGCCGGCTCAAACGCATCATCATCCGAAATCTCATCATCACTAATCTCAACAGCCTTACTCTGCGTACCGCTCTTCTGCGACTGTGAAAAGTTCAGCTTTGTCTGTCGTGCATTCTTACCCGCTCCCCGAGTCGTCGTCGTCTTGGCGGTGCTCTTCGCTGCGGTTCGTCGTGTCTTTGGGGGAGGAGGTGCGGGCTCTTCTTCTGATTCCATGACCACATCTTCTTCCTCTTCCTCACTGTCTTCAAAAGCCTTGCGGCCTCGTCCCTTTGCGGGGGCCTTTTTGGCTGGTGCAGCTTTTGTGGCGCGTGTTGCTCGTTTGGCTGCTGGTTTCTTGGCGGGGGCAGGGAGCGGCTCATCTTCGTCCATCAAGTCCATGTCATCGTCTTGTTGTGTCGCCTTGGCTCGTCCACGTGCAGTCTTGCGTGCTGGCGCAGGCGCAGGTTCAGATGCGCGTAAAGAGGTTTCGGCCTGTTGTTCATCCTCATATGTCCAGGCATCTGGCTCGTTTTCCCAGCTACCATCAAAGTCACTGTCCCAGGTCGCTGGCTTTGGCTTGAGAACTCGCTTTCTCTCCGCTCGTGCTGTCTGCATGCCGCTAGCTTGCTGCTGCTCGATTCTAGTTCGATATATGTCCATGGCACTGTTGAGATCTTCGTCATCTGACTCCAAGCCCAGCATGGATCGAACTTGACCTGTTAGATGCTCTGAAACAAATAGCTCCATCGCGTGCTTGTCATCCTTTGTCACGAATTGAGCAACAGCATCACCAAACGGTCCTTGAGGAAGGACCTTGAGTGATTGCGCTGACAGAAAGTCTTGCACCAGATTCTCAACCTTGACCATGTCATCAGCACCATCGAGTGCCTCAAGAGCTTCTGTTGGGTTCGCAGCATTTGCCTTGCCTTGGCCTTGTTAGTAAAATCTCTAGCCGATAGCAATATTGACTTACGCTGTGACGTCTTTTTGCGGTAAAAGTAGACAACATCATTCGTGTTGGCCACCTTACCAACAAATCGATTTGAGAACCTCTGGGGATTTTCAACCTCAAACTGACCACCTTCCGTGGCTGTGTACTCCACCTTCAGACGAATGAGTGGAAGAGGCCGTTCTTCTAGAGCCTCTTCATCCGTCTGAATGGCCTCCCAATCCGCATTGGCTTCCTCAATCATCTCCTCAACTACCTCCATCAGTCTTCGAGTGACTTCCTGACGGTTGTCCTTCTTCTTGTCAAGTCCTTTGAAGCGCTTGTCTTGCGAAAGGATGACTTCACGTGTGACAAAGGGACGCACACTCTTGAGAGGAAGCTTGTCGACCTTGAAGTCTTTGCCAGTTACGCTTACAATAGCAACGTGCTTCTGAACCGCCTCACCGGGCACCAGTGAAGTTGCGACAGATGAACCAGGCTGCATGACGTGAAATCCTGTTTCTGGGTTCTGTGAAGGATCGATCAAACACTCGTGCTCGTGACCCCAGACTACAAGGTCCAACCAGTCAGGTAACACATTCTCAGGGAGGTAGGATGTGGCTGTATGGGCATGGTGATTCTGGTGAACAGCCAACAAGTTGAACCAGTCAGTCATCTGGGTTTCAGGTCGAAACCATTTGACTTTATGATCTCGGAAAGTACGGAACATGCGCTCATCTCGAACGTTACTCAACCCAAACAGGGCAAGCTTTGTAAGGCCCTTCTGTAGCAGAATCGGCTTGGCCTCGATGTTGTCTGCCTCGGGGACACGACCGTAGTAGTTGAGCAGTCCGCTTGCCTGCAGAAGATCAAGCGAACAGAAGTTACCTTCACCAGAAGGATCGTCGTGATTGCCGTGGATCGAAAAGACGGGGATGGAAATGTTGATATCGGGATCTTCGTAGTTGACATGGGTGAAAGCACCTTCAAAGACAGATGCAGCATCGGAGAGAAATTCGAGAGGACAAGGTTTCATGCCCAAGCAGTTTTGTCGGAGTGTACGCATGACTTGGTAAAGGGACTTTCGGGAGGGTTTGTTGTCATGAAAGAGATCGCCAGCGAGAAGAACCATATCGACCTATGCATGTTAGAAGCCATGATCAATACCAAGGGCGATAGGCCGCACATCTTCAGTTCGGGCAAGGTTCAAAATTTCATCGAAAGTTCTCCAACTATCATCCTTACGAATCGGGTCTCGCTCTTCATAACCGACATGATTATCGGTCGCAACGAGGATACGAATGGTATCCGCCTCTACGGTCGTTAGTAAGAGGAGTAGTAATACCAGAGTGTAATAGATACATACCGGTGAACTCGGGCATCTTGTACAGCTTGCAATTTGTGTGACACAATCGAGCTGTGACGTGTGGTCTAATTAGGTATGGATGAAGGTGCTTTACGCGGGCTGTTTCAGTGAGACGCGAGCAGTAGCTCAGGAAGGTGACGCGCCCCAATGCGAGGTCACGTGCACCTCAGCTTGGCACCTCCACGGCCTAACAATGGCCCTGATCAAAAAAAGTGATTGCTCATCTTTTCCAAGCTGTCAAAACAATAACGAGTCTTCCAGAAAAGCAACGAAGGGGGGGCTCTAAACTTTGACGCCAGCCGTTGAATGGCAGCGGGATCTTGCAGCAGGTGTCAGTGATTGATTACGTGGTTGAAAGCTTAACAAGACTATTTGATTAAACATCAGACCACATTTCGACCCATATTCTCAGCGCTAAACAAGGCTCTCGGTCTCGTTCCGCACTAAGAAACCCGCTGTTGCACGCGTTCCTGAAGTTTCCCACAGGCGATGTCACCATTGCACGTTTATGCATGGAGAAACGACGTTGGCAATGGGTCTGGGTCACTGTAACACTGTGTTTCTGCACCTCGATACGCGAATCAAACCTCCACTTTCATGTCCCTATAACATGAGGGATATTGATAGGATGAAGTACGAAATGCACGGTTGTTAATTGAAAAAGCTTGGCTGATCAAGAATGAGGCCATTATCATCAGCGGGATGTGGAGATTTGGTCCACTTGCTGCGCTGCGTGCTTTGGCGACCTGAGACTTGCGATCTCGACCTTGTAGAGTTGATCCCAACAACGTGGCACAGCATCTCTCCTTTCGTTTCTTTTTCTTCGTAGTAGTATTCACAATGCAAGGGGATATCGATATGTATTTGCTTTTTATATGTTTCAGTCTTCGGTGGCTGTTTATTTCTCTCACATTAATTCTCCTTCTCTTTTCATCTTCTCAACTTCTTGACACAGACCATGCTCTGCCCCGACCAACATCATCAGATGCTTCATTTGGCTTCTCCCGTATGCCCGAAACTACTACCTTCCTGGTCGACTCACATACAGTAAGACGAAAAAAAGAGCTCAAACCACCGTTACTTGTCATGATCCTAGCTGTTCAATCCCTGGAAAACATGCAGCTCACGGACCCTTGGGTGCTGGATGAGTGATTGCGACACAAGATACGATTGGCTTGACTTTAGCTTCGATCCTTTATGAGTCCCAATTGCGATTTAGTAATTCAGCAGCTCCAGGGCTGGTCCTTGACGACACCATCGTAAGATCCAATATACCTTGTTGATGCTCCCGCGATCACACCTCCGCTTTGAATATCCGCATCTAAGCAACCAACTCCTATTCCAATCACTCGACCCCTTCTCCGCTCGAAGGGGGGGAGTACTTATCTACATACGTTGTTCATGATTCATGTTTCAAGGCCTCTGCTGTTCATATATCACTGTCCAACTTTCGCTGTTCAAATCCTTCTTGTCCAGCTTGTACAGCACCATCCCTACACTCGCCTTATACCCACGTCCCTGGACTTACAGCCTAATCATCATATCATACCATGCATCTCGTTGCCAGGATGGACCGGGATGTCTTCCACGGGGGGAATATCTGGTCTCCCAGCCCAATCTTCCAGACCGAGATTCCTTTCTTTTGGCGGAAACGACGGCAGCTTTCCATTGGCGATCTTCCCGTCGAGATCTTTACCGCCATATGTCGCAATCTCTGTGTGCATTGCCAGCATGCACATGTTGTCGATCTCCCGCCAGATGAGATCGACCACGCCATTGAGGCTCAGCAGGCATTATCTCGCTTGAGCCGCACGTGTCGACGTTTTCGAAATACGGCTCAACCTATCTTGTATCATTGTTATCACTCTGGACGACAGTCGAATTCTTCGAGTAGCCCTGAGTGGTGGGGTGATACTGATGCAAGGAGACGCGAGGTTGAGACTCTTGAGGGGTTTCTCCGTACTCTTCTTGAGAGACCTGACTTGGCTAAGCATGTTCGTGCTTTGGCGTTCTTTGCGTTGAGAGAAGTGACTGCTCGTCACATCTCTAAAGAAACGCAAGCTCTATTTCGACAGGCTGGTGAGCGCGCTGGTTTTCGTGCTCTACCATCATATGAACATGTTGATTCAAAGTGGTTGCAAGAAGCTTCGATTATGGCTGCGCCCTTTGTAGAGCAATTGCTTGTTTACCGATCGTCACAGGAAGGGCTACAGTATATAAGAGACTCCCCCTTCTACTTACCAAATCTCAAGTATTTGGTGTTACCAGGCCAGGGCAAGAATCCTGACGAATGCTGCCACATTCAACAGATGCAGGATGTCCTAGCAAAAGCACAGAACCTGGAAGTGCTGGCAGCTAGCGATGCAGACTGCGGGACGGACATCCCCCTTCGCGAACGTTTCCGCTCAGAACCATGGGACACTGCCCTTGCAAGTCTCCGTCGTCTATCACTTCACGGCTTAGATCCCGATAATCTCGCCAAGATCCTCCGTCGAAGTCCAGTCCTCGAAGATCTTGAATACTTCTGCGACATGGACAAATACACCGTTCTCCAACATCACCACCTCACCCCCGTTAGTCAATCGTTACGACGCTTATGCTACACCAGCACAACATGGGAGCATACATCCGGCGGCGCACAAGATATCATCGAACAAGTATCCATGTTTCTCCGCTGGGACTCTTCACTCCGCGGCGACGCCAGCTTTGTCGATTTTCCACGTCTTGAAATCCTTGAGATAGAGCAACTTCTTCTTTACGGTCCTGTCTTCGATGATGAAGAAGAGCGAAAACAAAGATTCGAAGCGATGAAGGATATTGGACCTGAGATCTTTATGGCGAGTCTCCCTTCTTCATTACAGATTCTTCATATAGGAATGGTGTTGGCTTGGCCGGAGATGCACCGCGACTTACTTGGTATGGCGAAGAAGGTATACCGGTTTCAGAACTTGAGCGTCGTTGCTGTAGATCCTTATGAAGCGCCGCCAAAAGAACAGATCAAAGAACTTGACGATGCATTTGCATCGAAGGGAATCATCTTCCGAATAGGCCAGACGACTCAAGTTCCATTTGGGAGGGGTATGTTGGGTGTAAGACCAGGACATCCAGAGAGATCGAGTGAAAGAGATCTCAAGTTTCCGCTAAATCATAGGAATCCGTCATATCTGGACTTTTTGGACTTTTAGATAATAAATAGTATCTATGAGTAAAGCACATGCAATGAGATTACTCGGTGAAATTACCTTGCGGATGAATGTGATGGCCTGATGTTGCTCTCTCATGATGCGATTTCGGTTCGTCTAACACATATATGATGCTATTATCTTCTCTTCGGCGACGAAGTTAGCATGTGCTTCGAGTAACGATAAGCTGCCCAGGCATTCTCTAGGGACACATGTGAGGTTGAGCTATCCAAGGTGTCACGTACATGTGACAAGGACTATGACTCTCGGGGAGGTTTACTCATAACATTGACATGCGTCAAGACTCATCATAAAAGACCTGAAAATGCGACTCAAAGATTGCCATCTGTTGCTTCAAGCCCTACCTATCGAGATCCCCGCCTCTGGAGCTCTAGGGGACCATAGTCTACTACTAAGTTGCCTGTGTATGTTTTAACAGGCATATTGATGGTGTCTATAGCTCTGTACACCTTACGGACTTCGAACTCCTATGGGGTGATCTCCTATTGAAGTAGTTCAAGGCCTGAGTTCCGTTGACTTGAGTGAAATGACTGCAAGGAAATAGCATAATTGTCGATTGCTTCAGCACAGGGTGGAAGTGAAGTTTTATTCGGGAGACATGGTTCATGAATTGTTGAATGTGGAAGATAGATATTGATCTTGACTACATACGCTCATTACCCGCGAACGGGCATCTTCATATACACAATAAACATCCGATAACGGACGCATTTAGAACAACCAAGAGACGAAGGTCTTGTAGAACCAACCTCCACGGTTAGGACCCTCAGCCTCACGCTTAGCGGCCTGAGCAGCCAAGAACTCCTCCTCCTCACGATCGATAACATCCTTGCCAGTGTAGAAGTCGGCCTCATGGGGCTTGATTCCGCGGGACTTGGTGACGAACTTGTGGCCAAAGATGAGGATCAGGTATACGGGAATACCGAGGTAACCAGTGATGAAAGTCTTGTACTTCTCACCACCAAAGATCTTGCCAGTCTCCTGATCCCTGACGAAAACGTCGTAGTTCTTGGTGAGGGCGATGAGAATGCACATGGAGAGAGCAGCGATGGATCCCCACATGCCGAAGGGTGCGACATAGGGAAGAGCTTCGTTGGCGAGACCCTGGGCCTTCTTGGCGCGGCACCACCAGATGTGAGTTGTGAGGATAGAAATCCAGGACATGAGACCGAAGATGGTGGTGAGGTTGACGAAGTAACCGAAAACCTTGGTAGAGTCATCGGCAACGTTCATGAAGGCCAGGAGACAGAAAGAAGCAGACATGGCGAGGGCGTAGATGGGAACACCGTGCTTGTCAGTCTTCTTGAAGATAGCAGGCGCAGAACCGTCAGAAGCAAGACCGTAGAGGGTACGGCTAGCAATGTACAGATCAGAGTTGGAGGCGGAGAAGACGAAGACGCAGATACAAGCGTTGACGATGTGAGGGAGGACCTTGACACCGGCGATATCGGCAGCGACGACGAAGGGAGAGGCAGAAGCACCGGTCTTGGCCTTATTGGCAAAGGCAAGCTCCTCAGAGTTGTAGGGGACGATCATTCCGACGAGCAGGACGGAGAGACAGTAGAAGAAGAGGATTCGGTAGAAGGTCAGCTTGATGGCGCGGGGGACCGTCTTGCGGGGGTTCTGGGCCTCAGCGACTGTTACACCGACGAGCTCAGTTCCGAGGTAGGCAAAGGTAGCGTTGACCATGCAGGACCAGAAGCCGAGGAATCGTCCAGCGTCACCAGTCATGATATAAGGCTTGAAGGCGCTGTTCTTGTTAGCGAAGTTTAGTGAGATAGGGAGTTGGGGAACATACCCAGGGTTGCTCCAGTATCGGAAACCCTTTCGGTCATGGTCAGGACCACCGCCAAGAGCGAGAACCAGAGAGAAGAGGATGATTCCAATGATAACGATGACCTTGAATGACGAAAGCCAGAACTCGAGTTCACCGAAGAATCGAATGCCGAAATAGTTGATGACGCAGATGGTGACTAAAAAGATGGCGATAAAGACACCTGGATTGACGGTATCTCGATCAACCCAATATTGAATGACCAACGCAGCAGCAGTGAGTTGATTAGGCGTGACGATGATGTATTTGAACCAATAACTGAGAGAAAAGTTAGCTCGCGTGACTTGTACAGCTTCAGAAACACTCACGTCCAACCAAGCGCAAAACCAAGCGAAGGATCACAGAATCGAGAAGCATAACCAGTGAAACCAGCAGACATGGGAAGCCAAGCAGCCATCTCACCCAGAGCAGCCATGACGAGAAAGACGACGAAACCAACGAGCGTATAACAGATGAAGACAGAACCAGGACCAGCTTGAGCCAAAGCCTTGCCAGTGCCGACGATAAGACCAGTACCGATCGCACCACCGATGGCAATCATGGTGATGTGACGGGCTTTCAGACCGCGGTGCAGCGACGTCTCAGCGCTGGTCTCGAGACCGCGAATATGGCGATCTTCACCGACGCCGAGGTCTTTGGTGGGAGCTGCAGAGGCATCGTAGCCGAGATCCGTCTTCTCGACGTCGTTTCCCCTTTCGACGCCGCTCATTTTGATGATTGGTTTGGGCAAGATGTGGGATAAAGAGCCAAGCTGCCAAGTGTAAAAGGCCAAGCTGCCAGAGAGAACCAAGCTTTGGGGATCTTAGAGCCAAGGACCTTGGCGATATAGTGTGTTAGATTCCCCAACGTTGCACGAAAGATGGAGGGACAAGAAGAGAAGAAAAGAGAGGGACGAGCACAGCTATATACCGAATACGTCTCACTCTCCTCTGATTAACCACACACGACAGTCAGCCTGCTATCAATTTTATCATTGTCGAAATGCCAAGACGACCATGCTCAAAATGGCAGCCCATGTAATGCTCTGGATGGAACCCTAGACGGACAGAGAGTCAGACACCATACGCACGCCCGTCTGTGAAGATCAATCACGTAACGGGAGTGTTTGTCTGTGTGGGAACTGGGAACTGGGGGTGCTTTAGTGTTGGCTTTAATTCCCAAGATCATCGGTCCAACAGTTCTCAATGGGGTCAGATCCTATCTCTGCATGTAACATTGTGGCGAGTTGGTGTGTAGTGAGTGAGTGCCTCGCCTCAGTTGTGCATTTGTACTGTAATTCTCTGCAGCTGTTGCACAGCACTGAATCTAGAATTTGGGACATTCATCAGCTGTAAGTTACTCGGGCGCAGGGCAGATTTGCAGGCTTTTTGGGCCGTTGGTTTTGTCTCATCGCTATAGTTACGCCAATCTCCAACTAGCAAAGATCGGCCCGGCACTTGATTATGGCGCCGAGGTTGAAGGGAGAGAACAAGGAGAGGAAAACAGCGCAGGCCAAGGCTCACCTGTAGTTTCTAGAAGCTCGGGAAGAGATAAGCTTTGGCACTTTGCTCCGAGGCCTGATCCTGTATGACATCCCCAATGGCTGCCTGTGTACGTCCTAGTGAAGTGTTACAGTGAGGATCTTGTTATGAGATTCCTATTGTATCCACTGCTATCAAACTAAGCCACTCCCCTTAAGGAAGGTCAATAAAGTTCTCGTGTGCTCTCTCGTCGAGATAGGCTCTTCTTCTTCATTCCTCCAAACCCCCGGTCTTACTGCGGTCTTGGCTCCAGTGTTTATCTACCAGTATCTGCCGTCTGTTTCTCTGCGGGGAAAACACAATGGGTACAAGGGTGTAAGAGATAGCCAGGGATGGCTCTGACCGCTCTGAGCTGTGATTGAGTGGCTTGTTCTCTCAGTGGGTACTTTTGGTGTCCACCCCTTGAATAATATCATCACGTTCACATGATCTTTATCTCGTACTGAGCAGGGATACAGATTTGCCATTCTCCGCACACAAAGATACCAGTAAAAGTTAGTTTAGTCAGTGGTTTTAGTTAGACCTGTACTAAACTAACGAGAACTCCAAGGCAAAAAACAACTCTAACCTGCATGCTTAAATGAAAAACAATATCTTTTACCTTATTATTAGCTAATTCCCCAACTCGACCCCCCAGCCCAGAGTGCGGAGAGCCCGTCATCAGCGGGAATCACTTTCCTATTGTGGCCATCTCGGGGTCAGGGATTCTCTCCGCACTCTGAACGGTCCAGACGTTTTGCTTGGCAGGAATAAATAAGCACAGATGATGATGAATGCTGCGCAGATGATTTGGGGAAAGAGATTCGTGAGCCTTTTCGGGAGTGTCGACCATGACTAGTTAGCTCGCAGAACCAACATTCTATTACAAACTTTTGTGTCATGAAAATTCAGCTTCGGAAGAGGCTGAGACATTTACATTGAGTGTTATCGCACGAGGGCTGATGAGAGGTGAAAAACTTGCCTTGGTGTACGCCTCGATGCACTGTCGATCCGGAACATGAAGCCAGCCTCGGGCGCTCAATCACACCCACTTTGCTCTGTCAAAGCTGACAAGCTTAGGCTGAATCCTGCACATATTGAAGGTTATTATAAGCATAGATAAGGACTTGACACCTGCTGAAATGATCATAAGGCTTAGGATAGGCAGTCTGCTAATCGGGCACAAGTGGCTGAACATAACCTTATTCAAGGCAACCTTCTACGCGGGCACCGTTCCCGAAGAGCAGAGAGCCACAGCCGTTTACTCAGCATCAACCTAAATCGGATCCGAACATCCTTGCAGCTATCGTCAATCTTGAACGCCTTGCGGGTCAACCTACAGCATCCGCAGGCCAGATCTCATAGCCAGCTGTGACTATCACCCCTCGTCTAAGATTATCGTACGTTAAACAAACATATAACTAAACTCCAAGACAAGAACTATACTAAACTCATCAAAAGATGCCTTACTATGACTAACGTTTTACCTTGTCGCCCAGTTTATATGTCTCAAAACTCCAAGCGAAGGTCAACTAGTGCGCATCCTTGTCCACACCGAGAGATATCAAGGTGAATGGCAACGCGTCTCCTCAACACTACTGCATACCAAATTAAAAGAAACTCCAACTATACCCCTCAAAAGCCAAGACTTGGGTTGAAATCCGGGGCCCCAGTTGATCCTGGGGATTATTACGTTATAGCCGTCTGGGGAGATCCACGGATCATGCATTCGTTGTTACGCTAGAGAATTTATCGTAAGTTGGTATTAGGGACGGTATATGATCAATGCTTGTGTGGTCTATGCTTTGAGGGAGAATAGATCATGCTGTATTGTGTAGTGGCGAATGAGGAGTTACGAAGAGTCCGTGAGTGCCGAAAGTCGGGTTGCGTTAAATTGATGGTTGAGGAGAATGGCTTGGCAGTGAAGGTAAGG